CATCACGCCACAGCCGGTTCTCGCTAAACAGGGCAGGGCGAGGATGCTCTCTGGGGCCCCGGTGGAAAGCTCGTCCCGGTGTGGAGCTAAGCCATGCCCCTCCGGGATGGATCGTCCCGGCAGCTGAGCRGCGGCTTTGTCCGGCTGCGAGAGTGTTAATCGCGTCGTTTGCAAATTTCAAAAGTCGCTTTAAACCCCCTGGATTTGGCAAAAGCGCCTTAATTTGGCTTCAAAGTCACCGATTCGTGATTTCGAAGGGCTGGTCTCGCAGCCCGCGTACAGCTGCCGTGCAGCCCGGCCCAGAGCCGCTGTCCCGGGGCTGTGCCCGCTGCCCGCTCCGCTCCCGACGCGCTGGCAGCCTGACCACTGTCGCAATCAGCAGCTCTGAGTGCCGTCTGCGCTCTGCCAAAACTGTCTGCGTGTTTGGGCTCTGTTACCTTGGGCTCTGCCTGTTTGGACTCTGTTTGGGATCACTTGGGGACCTGGCTGGGAGGAGGCACAGTAAAAGCAGGGCGTGAGGCATTCCCATGCATGCTGTCTCTGATTTCCCCACCTCTTTATTGCCTTCCCGGTACTTTATTGCCTTCCCAAACAGGTAACGCKTATTGCTTTGCTGGAATAAAACGTGTAATTTAGCTGATATTGCCATCTGCTGACAGAAACGCAGACTAGTCTGGGTGTCAGAGCCGCACGGGCTGGCGTGCTGACTGGCGACCTCATGGGGGTCATGTAATCCGATTTTCCGCTGAGAGAAGAGCCTGGTTAGAGCAGGAGGCTCAGGGAATTGTCCGGCTATGAATAGCTTCAAAGATGGAGATTTCACAACCTCTTCGGACAACCTGTTCGCCTGAGTGACCACGCTTAGAGTAAAATGTTTTTCCTGTATCTAAAGAGATTTTCCTATGTTCCATCTTGAGGCTGTTGCCTCTTATGCTGCCTGACTGAGAAGAGAGTGACTCCCCCTCCTCCACATCCTYCCGTTTGGTAGCTGCAGTGATTGGTAAGATGTCCCTAGAGCCAGCTTTCTTCTTAGGGCTGAGCAAACACAGCTCACAGCTCCAGCAGTCCCAGCTGTTGGGATGGCAGTAAAACGGATTTTGTTACAGTATGTCAGTGTCTTTTAAAAATTTTGTTTCTTTTTGTTTGGTTTGGGTTTTGTTGGTTTGAGATGTTTAAGTGGGTTTTTTTGATGGTTTGGGGTTTTTTTTTTTGTCTTGGTTTGGTTTGGTTTTTTGGTTTATTTTTCTTGTTTGTTCTGGGGAGCCTAAACCGGGATGTAGCACTCCAGCTTACATGTGTCTGACATGTCCCAAAGAGAGGGGAAGAACCCTGACCCTTGACCTACTGACCACCCCCTTGCTGATGATGCAGCCTGCTGACTCGTGTTCAGCATTTCGCCCAACCACCCTATTCTTTTCTTCCAAACTCTTTTCCATCTAGCCATTGCCCAGCTTGTATTTTTCAGTGGGGTTATTCCACCCTAAATGCTGGACTTGGCGTTTGGCAAGTGCAAAACAAAGCTAGAGTAGTTAAAGTTATATTGTGTTTTAATTTGCATGTCATAAATAAATAAATTGTTCAGGACCATGCAGTGTGATCCTAGAAGCAGGAGAACTAGCTGCCACATTTTCCAGGGAATCCACATAAGCTGAGAATGCAGTGGGCGTAGCTTGCATATCTACAAGTTAAAAAAAATGCAAGAACTTTGTTTCAATGCTTGTGAAAAAAAAATGAAGGTAGCAAAACTGAGCAGAAATGGCATTTTCTTTCTGAACAAATTACATGGCGAGTTAAGTGATTTAAGAATGAGAGGTGAGAGAGAGCCAACATGTACCATGTTGTGAAACAGCAAGAGGAAAGCTACTGCAAAGACATCTTTCACCATAAAATAATTTAAGTCCATAACATCACACTTGTCTACCACCTACAGCATAAAGAGAGAGAAAGAGTAGTATTGTAACATTTATCTAACTCTCTTAGGGATATCTCCAGATGGCTGACTGAATTCATACTGTTACTCCAGAATCCCTCAGAGTGCTGCCTTTTTGCACTTGCAAGTTGAAGTGGTGTAGGTATGAAGACTGATTAACAAACACTGAGATCTTGCGTAATGGCAGATGCAGAAACTCAAACAAGTATCTGTTTTTATGTGGCCTCTGTACCCTGGTGCCCAGCCAGAGCAGGGTATGCCTTCTGTCCTGCTGCAGATATCGGCCTTGGTCGTGGCTCTGTGCCAGATTTGGGGGATGAGGATGCAGAGCTATCCCTGGCAGCTCACGGGCATTTAAGTACAATTGCATAAGYGTTATCAGTGACAAAGCTGGCACTGTTGACTGTCACCTCGAGGTTATCTCATTCCTTAAGGGCAGGGAACAAGAGGCCCAGAATAGTTAACCCAGGTCAACACGCTGCCAACAGCTCATTGCCTTGTCTGTGACATACACTGTCCAAAAGTTAACATTCCCACTCCCAGCTGCTCTTCTAGAAGGACATTTATCAAATTATGTATTATAAGGTTCTCTTTTAAACCCAGGATTATGCATAACTGTTAGGGACTTGGAAGGTTAATGGGGAACACTTATTCTGGTTCTCAACAGCATATACAAAACTTCCTGCCTGGAAGAAGCTGCTACTAATTCATTTAAAAGTCCTTTAATTTTCCATTAGGGTAAAATCAGCCCTTTCCCTCACTGGTTACCCTGAATGGTGTAAAGTTGCCTGCCAGAAAGCTCATGTGATATAATTTTGTTCTGTTCTGTGTCTTTGATGGAAATCTGGAGTGTTGCCTGCAGAGGTCTAGGCCTTACTGTGTAACCATCCCTTTATTCAATGCAGAAATGAAACCTGTGTTACCCCTTCCAGTAGCAACGGAACACCTAGTGGTAATGACATTGCAATTTCCACATGGCAATCTGTCTGTAGTGTTACTTGTGCCTACCAATAGAAACACAGTACCTGACTGTTTTGAGGCAAAACCAATTAAAATGTCTATTGCTGTTTATTCTCCATGATTTATAATGAGCCTTTATTATTTCTAYTGCAATAGCACCCAGAGGCAGTTGCAAGAAGTGGGAGAGATGGTAAGCAACACCCTGGACAAACACACGGAAAAGCAGGATGTTTTCCTTGGATGTCTCGCAATCTATGTGCAGACAAGCTGCAACAGGTGAGTGAGAAGTTTCACCCAGTTTCTCATACCTCTGGCTTTTTGTAGACTGAGACCAAACCACCATGGCTTGTTCCAAGACAGTTTTTCCAGCTATACCAGAATAATACCAGTACTAAACAAGCCTGGGGTTTCCTATTTGGTGTTATAAATGAATCATATTCTTTTGATCAGCTCTCATTTATCTGYATCTCTTACCTGTGGAGGCCTGCTTGGCTTTTAATTATACACAACAGAATGTACCTGTTGCTTTGGTCAGATGCTCTTGGCTTCAGATTAACTATATGGAATCAAATCAGAGTGAGGGGGCTGAGAGCAATGTGTCTGATGCTGCCAGTACTCACTGAAATATGAAAGYAGTATGTCAGGTGATGCTTCATCAAATCTCTTTATCATCTTTTCATCTTTTTATCTGCCCTAATGTATTTTGCTTCACCAACCTGTACCAGTGTGTCCCTATATAACCTTAGACAGTTCTAGAGCCACTCTTAAAATCACATCCTTTCTGCATTTATCATTGAAATCATTGAAACGTGTTCATTTTTATTACACTCAGGTAAAGTTATTTATTGCCTTCTAGCAATAGTAGAAGGCAATATTTATTGCCTTCCAGCGAAAGCTTTGGACTTGAATTCAATCGACTCAATCTTTGTTCCAGCTTTTCTACAATCTTGCTGGATGACGTGGGCAGGTGTCAACCTAGCCAGTGCAATTKCCTCTTCTATAAAGAGGTGCCAATTGCGTGGCAGTGTGTGATTCAAGAGCTCCAAAACCAAGTGTCAACCACTGAGCTGTAGAAATGCAGCTTATTGTTACAGCAGAGTCTGCAGCAGACRCTCTGCACTTGTTGCTGTGAGCAAACACGTGCAGTGTGTCCTCATGCCAGACATTGTGCATGAGCACTGATATGCTCACAAATTCAAAGTTTGACCTATTAATAGCTGTGTGTGGTTTGCATTACGATCAATTTACTGAGCTCTTGTAGCACCATGCTGCCACGCTGTGAGATTTTGCTGTCCAAGTGGAAACTATGGGCAGAACTGTCCCAGAGCAGTCCCTAAGGGCACTACCAAAATCTGATTTCTCAGGAGGAACAGGAGATGGGTTTATGAACTACAGTTCACCAGACGAACAGACTGATTTTGACTCAAAAACATTTTGTCAGATTTGTAATAGTTTGTTCCAGGGTGTAGGGTCTGATGCAGTAGCACAGCCAAGGCAGCACCTGCAGAGAATGTACTTGGAGTCTTCAGAAAGTGGAATAATTATTCTGCCTCTTATCTAATATRGTCCAGGCAAACAGAGCATGAGGTTGTGGTATCACTTTTCCAATGGGATTAWGAGAGTCTATATCCATATGCTGGATGTACACATACAGGTGTATGTATATACCACACAAGAACRCATCTGTGCAATCCATATTGAAAGGAATGAGAGGGACATGTCTTTACAAACAAAYTGTAGGGCTTGCTGRTAGATAAGGYCWGATACTGATAGGTGAAAGGAACAATGGGAGRAACCATAAATTCCRTAGGAATTMCAYTAATTGACACAGATTGTTACTTAGCCAAGGCTGTGCTAAATCCCTGGACTTAGAGAGRAAGAACAGAAACACTAAGAAAAAAGGTGCATGGAGGGGGGAGGGGGAATGCACATTAGAAGGGGGTCTGTATTAGGCAATCGAGAAGTCAGTATCTCTCAAGTACCTCAGCCAATGGGGAAAGARAGARAAATGCGTCTGGGAAATTAGAATAAAAAGGAGACCGCATCCTCTAACAGTTTGAGAGACCCAATGGAAATGACCCATGGCCTTCTCCCTTAAAGTTACAGGACTCCTCTGTCTCCTTTATGGACATAAACCTCAGGTGTTTGTGGATTAATTTTCCTAACAATATGAAATTGCAGGCTATTTCAGGTCTGCACTGCAGATTAGTGTCATGCTCCATCTGTGCATCCAAGCCATTTGCCATGTCAAAAAGTTGTGTCCCTTGTTGTTTCCCGACTTAGCTATGTTCCCAAAGAGCATATCCCAGATTGCTCTGCTGATCCTTGTTCCCAGGCAAGGTACAGCACTACTCAGCTCTTGTGCCAGTTCTGAACCAACTGACTTGACATTAAAAGCAGGACATTAAAGCATTAGTCCAGCTAAAATGCATTGTCAACATTGTRAGAGCAAAATGGATTCTTTAGAGACATTATTTAGGTATGTGTCTCAGATTTCATCTTGCCACAGTTGCTAGGCATATGGTCCTGTTATTGATCTCATGGAAGTCAGCATCTAAATCACAGAGTAGGTGAAGTAAAAGGTGTATTGATGCATATATTTTAAGATCAAAGGAACTATTATAATTGCATGTTAGTTCCAGCATATAATTTCATCCAGTAATTTTTGCATCAAACACAAAATGTTTCAGATGATACACATCTTTCACAATAAAAAAAAATTGTTTGCTGGGTTTTTTTAAAACTCAAATGATGAAGGAATCATCTCAACAATTTATTTTGGAAATAATTATCCTCAGTCTTGAAAATCCACAGCTTGAAGTTTGAATTTGTCTAGTTTCAGCCTATTGATATTGTTTTGATACATTTTCATGTGCTAAATTAAGTAGCCTTTCACTCCCAGAAATCATCCTTTGTAGTGATTTAGGCCATGAACAAGTCACAGCACTTTCCCTTTATATTCTCTGAATAGAGTGAGATGCTTTATGGAGTTATGGCCATAAAGAATTTTTGATGATGAGCTACTCAAAATGTAGCTCATCACAACAGAAAATTGTAGGAATAAGGCAAAAAGCCTGAGATGTCAAACACAGTGTCAAAAATAYAGGCTTCAGTGTATACCTTTTCCTTTTTATAATCCATTGCACACCATAATGAGCATATCAACAGGGTGTGGACTTTTTTTTTAGCTGAAATACTTCAGAGCAGCATAAGGGCCAGTTTTATATCTAGGAATAATAACAGAACCACCAAGACATGTTTCACTAACTAATTAAAAGTCTTATTCCTTTGGTTCCGATGTTGCTTTTTATAATCTTCCCTTTGGAGAGATTTGACCTAATGGATATTAATGTAATGGGGAGTTTGTCAGAGATGTCTGGATCTTTGAAATAAACCTTGTTATGTTTTGCTAAATTAAGTTTTCCTCTTCCCAGGACAGGCCATTTGCTTTTTTTTTTTTTCTTTTTGTGAACATTATCTCATCCGTGAAGACCTGGAAAACAATTACAGTCTAATCAATCAAGTAGAATAGAACAAAATAGTCTTTGTGTAAATAGGAAATTAATTSTGGCATTGTATGAAGAGTAGAACACAGAAGAAAGAAGAGAAATATTGAAGTATACAGGACAAGATAATCTGAGTAGCATATTTTTGTTGAACTGATAATATGGAAAAATATATTTTAGCCAATCAATACCACTGTTGCAGAATATTAGCCTCACACAGATTTATATAAATCTATATATGTTTTATCAAATGCATAAAARGTCAGGTAAAAAAAGAGGGTAGAATTCAGAACAGTATGAAACTCTCATGACATTCCCAGGGGCAAAAAACAGAGCTGCTGTGAGAAGGCACAGCTCCATTTAATCCCAGGTGTGCAGTAAAATATTCTGTTGCTGGCAAAAAGAACCCTGTGTATTACCTTTGGTTAGGCTCATAGCAAACATKAACATTTTAACACCAATGACTCAAGGTTTCCAGACAAGGGCTATATTTTACGACTGTTGGGTGTTCATATCAAATGATGTCCAAGTGGGCTGGGGTTTGTGCCACCTTATTTTCTATACAACAATTCTGAAATTTCTGAGACACCAGATTTGGTTGACTTGTGTTTTTCCACTAAGACTGGCTGAATAAAGAAGTGTGAATTATTCTTRCAATTAACTCTGACTCTGAGGCAGATAATCATCATTGCAAAGTGTATTAAATATGACCTGCAGCTATTTGATCTCATGCTCTAATCCCCTCAGTTCTTCTAAGCTAAACAAAGGTKGGTGAATCAATAATGAGATGATTTTGTTCCAAAAGAAGAGGCTCCCGTGCAARTCAAATGGAACAATATTGCCTTTTGCAGCACTACTGAAGAGATGTCCCTACACACTGCACTCCAGTGACAGTCTAAATGAAGAGCTCCATGTATTTGGGACCTCTGAGGCTACACCACTACTATGCCTGTGTGATGGGATGTCACTTCTCTTCATACCCTGCAGGCTCTTCCTTATGCTCATCCCCTTCACACAATGGCCTGATAGTAGTGAAATAAAAGAAAAATGCCCTATATTTTTCCTTGACTCATTGGTGTAGCCTTTTGCTTGGCTGCACATCCTTTGGACTCACAGCTGATGGGAATTCACCAGGCTAATAGCACCTGCATAAATCCCATGTGGAGAGGACGACAGCAGGCTGAGCCTCTGGCTCTGAATATGCAGAGAAGCAAAGCTGAAATCAGTGTGCTAGTGGAGCTTATTATTTTTGGGTGTAAGGTCAAGTTTTATATGACACTTAAAAGGGAAAAGAAACCCCAAAACCCAATTCAGAAAAAAACATTTGTGTTATTCTGTCCCAGTTCTATTTCACATCTTTATATTATATCTACCTTCATCCTGTCATCTATGAAATTAATTTAGTGACCCATAATTTCTAAATTTAAATGTCTACATTTACTCGTCTGTTGATATGAACTGATGAAGAGCTGCTGCTTCTCACTGGCGTGTGAATGASAGCATTTATTTCCTCGCTTCCCTCAGTGATGCATTTTGGAACTTACAAAAGTGTTAGTGTCTGTGGAGCACTTGAAAGCCTTACACAAAAGGCACCACAACTATGCAAAGAACTACTGTCAATATTAGTGAATCACTTCAGCCAGCAAGGGAAAACGGGCTTCCGTTTTAATACAACAAACAAACCACAGCAGTATTTACTGAACACGTCAAAGATAACAACAACTACATAAATACAAAGAATTATTAAGGTTTCTTTGTGAAAACATTAATTGCATGGTGATAAACAGTATTGCAACTTTCAAGCCCATATCCAGGCAGAATAAGCACCTTTGGGTTACAGGGAGCCCAAAATTGAAACCATCCCTCTCTCCAAAGGCTCTGAGATAAAACAAATCCTCCTGATAGGAAGGTTTCCATTCCAWAAGTCTCATTTTTGTTGAATAGTGTTTTTGCTGAAGCTAGATTCAACTTCAGCCTGACTGGGACAGAGAAAGACTTCTCTGCCTGTTCTCCACCATGTAGCCCCTCAGACAGCCTGTGTATTGTATCAGCCAGCACTAATGAGAGTAAGAAGAGAGCAACAAATCTCTCTCTTTAACCTGTGCTAGCCCCACGTTTCAAATGTTTAGAAATAAGAAAAGTCCATCATAGCACAAGATCACTCAAAAAAAAAAAAAAAAAATAGACTTGTAACCGCATCCTCTCAGAAGGTCAGCAGATGCTCTGTATGGGACATACGAACCGAGGTGTTCTTCATATGTTTCATGAGATCCCCAGCTGCAGTGCCCATTCACAGAGACAGCTGGACACATCCTTGGAAAGTCCTACTCTAAGTGGTGAGGAGCAGACATGCATCTTCCCATGGACAGGCACAGCTGAAGAGGCTCTTTGCTGAGTAACTGCTCCCTTTGGGATGAGACTCTCCCAAGAAAATACACCTGGCAGAAAGGAAGGGCCACCTGTAAACACTGGACACCTGCATATTGTTGTCTCAGCTTCCTTACTTCAGCTGTTGCWGCTGTTGGCTTGCCTTGTCCTCTCTCCTGTGCTCTGCTATCAGGAAAAAATGGGAGAACCTCACCAACAGTGGACRCTTCCACATTTTTAGGAGGACTGTGTGATTACTACAGCCTGTCTGATATTAAGAGTATTTATTGCATAGCTACTGAAGACGTTCTAACGATTATTCTCCTCTTTTACAAATATGAAGAGCTTTTCACCTTGAGAGTGTGGTTGTTGCCAGTTGTTGATCTGTATAAAATTTAGTGTGAAACCTCAATATYGAGACCAGGCTGCACAGAGTCCCTCTACTGTTCACAATAGTATGTTCATCTTCAGCCCACTGGAGGCTCCAAATAAACTCATCCTCTCCAGTGTCATTTGTTAAACAAGTTAGAGAGCAGTCCCTTGTAATGTTGTGCAATTTAAATTCCCAATAAGGCTCTTGAGATTTCTGCATGCTCAGCCTTTTTTAGTCTTTTGCAGAACTTAAACCCTGGATACAGTCATCCTCTAAGCATCTTGCATAATTCTTTGGTTCTGTACCAGTTCATCTGCAAGTTTCTGTTAGGCACAACATTATTTTAATTTAAAAATACAGCAGCATAAATTATTTAAACAAATAWTTTTTTCTTATTTCATTGTTGGAAAACGTAAAGCTTTCCTATTTAATGCAGAATAAAAATTGAATAGCAATTCCAGCATGCAAGAAAAGGTACACCCAGTTCTGTTCTCTTCACCAGAACACTGACTTCTTACCTAACTTATTCGCAAAAAGAATAACTTTGTCATTTGATAATACATATGGCTAATTTGCAATACGTAAGCTACATTCATTTGTGCTAGCTCACCTAAAGATTTCCTTTCAACTCACSAAAGCAAAAGTGCAGCAGTTCAGCTGAATCCTAGGCAGACATTTCTTAAGCATTAATTATTTTATGTCCTTGCAATCTTCCTTGTCTTCAACATTTAAAGCAATTCTTCAGTAATTTGCTAAGGTTTGAAAACAAGTGAAGTGCCTGGATTTATGTATTAACTAACYTTTTACCTCAACTCACTATAAATTCATCTCTAATGTTTTTGTGGCTAACAGGACATGGTATATACTGTTTTCATTACTAAAACAACAGGGTTTTAATGGGGTGTCTTAGAGCAATATGGGTAAAACATAGCTCTTCACAAACCACCTGCAATTTGCACTGCCTTCCCCACACAGGTGCTAGTAGCATGTCAAAGTATCTTAACCACAACAAAGGCCAAAACTSCTATTCAGACTTTATTTTCCATGTCTGCATTAATTAGTGGGCCTGCTTGGGTATGGCAATGTGTAACCCTCTCACCAACTGTTGAAACACCTGTACACTGTGCACTTCTCCCTTAGCTCCTGTCACAGACCTGGGGAATGAGTGCTTTGCATAGTAGGTGCGGGTACTAAACCATAGTGTCACATATTTGGATGCAGAACATACAAATACCACTTGTATAGCATCTGTGCTGTTTGTTATGCCTGACAGCTGAATTTTTCATATACTTGCACCTGTGGAAAAATGCCCTGGTTAGTTTGCTCAGCAACCAGACCTCTTCCACCCACAAAAAATGCACATAAGTTTGGGGAAGGATCCCCATATGCTATGTAGGCATTTCAAAATCAACTGCTCCGCTGTGTTTCTGTTGCTGGACAGATTGGCAGATCAAGATGGTGCAACTGAGAGAACATCCCCTTGCTTTTTGTTTGGTTGGTAGGTTTTGACATCATTTGTAATACTCTTGATCATTTTTCTGGAGCTTCATGTAGTAACAAATAGGTTACCTCCGCACTAGGCTGGCAGAACTTTTGCTGTTGTGATGGCTCAGGCGGGATCTCACCTCTAGTCTCACGTGGCTCTTGGAGGTAGAGAGGAATGGTCACAGTCAGCAAAGGGAAGGCAGAGGCATCATGAGGCCACTCCATGACCAACTGAATCCAAACAGCTGCAAGGTCTGGGCATCCTTCCAGCAGGAGGGCTGAGTGCTCCCGACCCACACTGTTACAGGTGTGTGGCCAGGATTGTGTGAGGATGTGTCTGCAGCAGCAGGAGTGCTTGCCTGAGCCGGGATGCATGGGGGAGCAAACGGGGGTGCTGGGATTGGGGGGATCCTGGAGGACAGGCAGTCCTGCAGTGCAAACGCAGCTCCTGGGCCACCCCCTGCTCTCATCATGGTCCTGCATTCAGTGATGCCGGGCGAGGGCCCCAGCCCATGGTGACCCTGTGGCAAGGGCCTGGTGCGTTCAGGGAGCGTGTACTGGACAGGCTAATCAGTTCTGTAAACTGTTCCAACTTAGGATCGCTGTCATGCTACTTGTGGTCAGGGCACATCTCTGTTAAACTGCATCTGCTACAAGGCTGCATTAGCTTTTCCTTTGTTTTTCCTTTGCACGAAGGAGTCGGAGGATGCGTTCATTTTTTGTTAGTTCTGCTGGCAGTTCATTTGCCTGGAACAAAAAACCCTTGAGGTTAGCAGAAATGAATATTTCCCAATTATGGCTGAAAAGCATTACACTCTACAGAAGATGGTACTGGGCATTATAATGATGTGATTTTTTTTCCAGTGTTGTCTCCACCACTGTGGAAGACATCTTAGAAACCATCTTTCAGTGTTCAAATCTCACTTAAGTCTTCAAATCTCAGAGTAGAATCTGAGTGGCAGCTTATTTTGTACTGTCTAGGCTAAATGCCCTTGGGYTCCCTATGCTTCTGCCACAGAAGTAAAAGAGAGCATAGCTGCTCTCTTTTTGGGGAAGATGAGGCAAGTCCTTGTGTACTAAAGTCCATAAAAATCCAAGGGAAGACTTTAATTGCTATGAAATAGTCAGTGCTATGGTGTAAAGTTGGTAATAGAACATGAGATTGATGTTAGTTTTTTTTTTATTTATTGAATACAATTTTGGTATCATAAAGTATTTAAAGCTGCTTCTGAAAATCAGTAATTCTGTCCTGCAAATATACTCTGTTGTGCCAAATGCTATATTATTTACAAAAAGAAAAACCCAAAAAACCAAAACAGTAGGACAGGTTACAGCCACAGACTTTCTTCTACTGCACACCCTACGGTTGCAGATCACTATCAGTAGCAGAAAAATATTGTACATCATTCAGGTTATCATATCAAACCAAAATGTCTATTAATATAGACAGCTGTGTGAGTGGCATTAACTGTGCTGCCATCAAGTGGAATGATACAGGAATYAACAGCCACAGATTTTATCCTAAATGACCAAAATATTTGCAAGATATGTGCTGGATTACTTGTTTTACAAACTTTCAKWCACCCAGTCATAAAYCAGAAGTCAGTGCCAGACCACTCAYTTACAGCTTAACAAATAACCCAGCYAGATATCAAATACWAGCAGCAAATAKTTCAGAAACATGTCAGAGGAAGACATATTAATGGAAATTAACAAACATGTAATGTTAAAACACTTTAAAGGATAAAACCATAGTAAATTTTCTACAGAAAATTTGCTGTTATCAAAAGAATGCAAAACTAATTCAAAAAAGCGAACAGATCTACAGTAAGATATGGGAAAGATGCATGTTATTTGGTTTTTTTTTTGGGGGGGTGTTTGGGTTTTTGTGTTTTTTTGTCTTTTTGTTTTTTTGGTATTAGCAATGCCCTGAATTCTAAACAGAAACATGGGCTGCCCCCACCTCCATGGCACACATGACTCCACTGCTTGGTGCTCCCCCCGTACTCCTCAGCAGGGAGGGTGGTGTGGCAGGACCTACCTTGTTCCTCAGGCATGGATCTGCTCCTGCCTCAAGGAGCAGTGCCACTGTCCTCACATTGCCACTCAGGACGGCTGCGTGGAGAGCAGAGGTCCCATTCTAGGAAATACCAGTGGAGGTGTTTGGTTGTTTTCAGTGCATGGAAAGAAAGCAAAAGGCAGTGAAACAAATGTTTGCAAAGAACAAACCCACAAGCGAGAAAGAAGTAACATGGAAGAGGTTAGGTCATCAAAACCAGGGTCTGATTTAGGGTGCTGGCAGGCTAGTGGGATGTGAAGGAGGTGATTTTAAATGYTTTAATAAAAATGAGAGTCAAATTCACTTCAACACAGCAGTATTTCCTTTTAATAATCACCCTTGTCAATAGATCAGAGGCGACATGAACACAGCACTTGCTTCTGCCTGGCAAAATAAGTCATTAGCAAGTGGACCAGAAGCACAAGCAGTAATGGAAGCCAACTGTGCATTTTATTTTCTGTCTCTGATGATTAATGGCCTCAGTGCCAGACAGCTGACTGGTGTGGGTTTTTATTGCTGACCTTTTGTTTGTGGCTGCAAACTGTTCAAATATGTGTGGAAGCTAGTTCATACTTGAAATTAATAGCTAACTTAATGCCACCTACATTTGCAAGCACATTAAATTTGCCAATCAGTTGGATTCACAGAGGCTATCAAAGTATGTGATTTATAGATATATAAAATTAGGTCAGCAATTAAAAAGCAGCTTCCAAACATCTGTTATTTTTCAAGACACTATAAAGTCAGAGGAAAATAAAATCAAGTAGAGAAAATCTGCTCACCATGTATCTTTTAACACTCTATTTTGCTGACTACATGCAATAGAGGGCTGGGTATAATGTTAAAACTGTACAGTCAAGAGCAATCTACTTACAGTAAAAATAAAATGAAGTGACAAAAAGCAGAATTTAATCTTTGATACAATCAAAGATTGTATCAAAGTGCTTCTTCATTCAGAGAATTAAATTCACTGTTTTATTYAAAAAGATTTATGAGTGGCATCAAGGTTAAATAAGATAACTTCATTTTTGTCTTGACTATTTTTTAGGCTCAAACTCCTATCATCTTCCACTAGAGTAATCAAAAATGCTGGGTCTTCCATCAGGCCCTTTACCTTCTTGTGTTCTGCCTGAAAAATCTCCATGTTTCACTACTAACCTTCAGCAGGCCAAGCGTGGGAGAGAATTTCAGCAACTCTTCTATCACATTGTTGTAGCCTTTAATGGCAGCCTTCAGTAAAGCAGTGGTACCATCCTTTAAAGGAAAGAGAAGGGTCAGTTTAGTTGCCATCAACGCTTTGCCTGCATTCCCTTGGGGAAGGAAATGCTGCTCTCCCTGTGCCTCTGAGAGGAGAGTCTCCTCTTCTCATGGTCTTTGAGGAGGCACAGTGTGACCCTCCACAGCATGTGCTGCTGTTTTAGGGGACCTGGAGGACTGTTCCTGTGGCAGGGGAAAACTTCAGGGTAAAATGAACCAGTGACACCACATATTGTCTTTGTCTCTCTCAGTTATGTGGACATTTCCATTCCCTTATTCCAGAAGGTACCGCCAGGAAGCTGTCCCAGACACCATGGGAAAAAGGAAACCTGCAGTGGGACTTCGCAACCTGGCAAACAGGACTGACTCTGGAGGCACCAAGCCTCCATCCAGGCAGACTGACAGTCCCCCAAAGGAGGCACCAAGCCTCCACCCAGGCTGACTGACAGCCCCACAAAGGAGGCATCAAGCCGCAGACAGAGCGGGGGAGGAAGTGCCACTCACATCCCGTGCGGCGTCGCGCTCAGCGCCCCGGAGCAGCATCACTCGCACCACTTCACTGTGACCCATCTGCGAGGCAATCCACARGGGAGCTGTCCCATCCTGCAAACAAAATGAGACTGCTGATGGCTTCACTTCAATGTCCTGTGCCTTCTGATATTTTACTGCCCAAGCCTACTGGAATGGATGTACTTCAAATTCTCAATCAAATTCTACAGGGAGACAGATGCAGAGCTGTGTCTGACACCATGTGGTAGGTTGGTGTATCAAGTTAAAACTGCTCCAGTTTGTGGAGTAGTGCCACCCTTACCCACTTTCTCTTGCATAGTTTGCAGGAAATGTGCACTGCTGTGTGAAATTAAAGCCCAGTTAGGCACCAGCAGTGCCTAAAATACACAGGAAGTTTGGAACAGAAAGGCTAAAGGTATCCTGTGTACTCTGAACTCTAGGTGGTAGATGTGACAGAAGATACAGACAAACCTCGGCATGCACAGGCAGATTCTGCGGCTGGGTGCCTGTACAGAGGGAGTGAAAGTTTACAGAGCTAGGGAACAATGCAAGGTGATCACCAACTTTCAGTATTAAATTACATTATCCACCCTCAGGAAATCTGGTAAAAACATCCTGCCTTACAGTGATGGTAAGTATTTCACAAATTTTATCTTCAAAACTCTTCTAGAAAACGAATCAATTATCAAGGAATCCAGCATGAAACAATCTGCTTTGGAAAATTTGTCCTATGCAATCATTATTTGAGCACAAGACCTCAGAAAATAAAATGCTAAAGTGTTAAATTAAATGCCTTCAGAGTAAGCTAAACTTTGCAATGGATTTCCCTTCCAAAGGCAAAGATGAGTTGAAGCACTAGAAGCATTTGTCACTGAAGTAGAATTTAGTTTTATGTCTTTTCCTCTTTTTGATTCTAAATGGCCTGATTCTTCAGACTGCAGGAGGACTCCAGCAATTATGTGGTGCCAAACTGATTCTCATGAGCCTTTAAAAAAAGGCTTTGCCTGTAGAGACTTCAACATAGAAGTGAGGCCTCACAAAGCAGGGTGTCTGCTTCTACCTTTAGGCTTGCCAGTTCCCCTCACCATTCTCCAAGCCGGAAGGTTTGGCTCAAAAGAGGAAGACAAACTAAACTGAGACTTCAAGACCAGCTTTAATGAGAAGTTTCAGGAGAAATCAACTTTTTCCATTAAATAAGATACTGCCACCTTGATCAAAGAGCCTCTCTCCCCTCTCTTCCTATGACTTGCTCATGCAATCCAGAAACCCATTGTTGAACCAGTTCTCTGCTTTCTATGGGCTAGTGAATTAATCCTTTCAAAGAAAGAGAAAAGTTATTTCTTCCTTTGATGTAATAATCTGGGCTTCCTTTTTTCTGATTCTGAGAAGGAACAAACTCACATCCTGAAATCTTCAGTATTCTCAAATGATGAGGAACATGATCTTTGCCCACCCTTGTATAATTTCGCTRTAAATTAACTCATTGAAATTAGTGACTGGCCTCACTCTGGCATACACCCTGTTAATAAAACAAGTGTTCTTAGTGATTCCAATTTAACAAAGGCTGTCTTGTCTACAGCGTGTGGGTATATTAGTGTGACGGCAAAAACTGTCCCACTCCAATTCATAGTGTTTTCCCTACCAGTAAGCTGACACCTGATATTTTTCTAATCTCCCCCCACCAGAGGGCTCTAGAAAATAGCAGTAAGTGCACTGAAAAAGCCTGTAAAACTTCATAAAAATATCTTACAGCACCTAACACAATTTAATCTGTCTGAAGAAACAGTGCTGTGCAAATCCGTGCTTGTATTTACACAATAAATGAAAACACAAGCTCAGCACAGAAAACATAACAGCTTTGTTTTACTCACAGTGAAGTTTGTAGGAGCAACTCCTATTTTCAAGTATAAATGAAAAGGAGCAAAGGACATAAAAATGTAAGGTAACATCACTGCTACCATTCATTTTCATTAATAGTACTGCTGTTAGATCCCCAGCATCTCAGTTATGGGATAGAGGCAAAAGTACATTAKGACAAAGAGTGGGTGCCTTGGAGGACTTAGCTTGAAGACAAGAAAAATAGTGAAGTTGATGATGGGCTCACACTGATTATGGTCAGCTTCTTTCTCTTGAGCAAACATCTGTCATTCAGGTTTATGCAAATGTGTATATTTATATGGAGTAGATGAGCTTTCTGTCCATTTTCATGTTGGTGAAAGATGCAAAGCAGACACTACATTTTACTGGGAGATCACATGAAAATACACATGTAAACAGATATTAGGGCTTGGAGGAAGAAAGTGAGAACAAATCAGGAAGAAAGTGAGAACAGGGAAAGATGCAGTTCAAAAGCTACTCTACTTTCCTCGTCCCTCTGTCCAGCAGACTGCAGACCATTACATTCTTAGAATAATGTTGAACACTCCATATGTTTGTAAGCTATTCTTTTTTTCCACATTTGATTTCAGGCTACTATATATGGACAACATTTTATTAAATCCAGCAACCAGAAATTCCCTATATACTCTGACTGAAATTGCTGATGCTCTTTTTCTTACCCATTAACTAATGATTTTGCTTTGCAGCTTTGACTCTCAGCTTTATCTTGTTGCTTGAAGTTTTAGAAAAGGCCAGATTAGGGTGGGAGGTGAAAGACCCCTCAAATTTCCAGTGGGGATTCCCAGGGTCAGAGACCCCCTACTCTCAGCCTACTCAGKGTCGTCTCCTCCACTGCTCTGCCCATTTGTCCACTTTTACCATTACACCTGATCTGCCAAAAGCAAATTGCTTGTCTGAAGTGCACCCTATATAGGTTTACAGGCTTACATGTATGTGTAATTGCATATCATGTGCTAAGAAAAAAGTMATTAATTTTCAGATTATGTTGAATCTGTTTAGCCAGCCATAATAAAGCCTGTTGGAACACAGGCTGCCAAAACAGCATTGGMAAAGAATCTTACAGCTTTGTTTTGGGAGTTGAAGAAGCATAGAAACATCTCCTGGACAAGGCTTCAGACATTGCCCCCAGCTCYGTCTAGACAAAAAGATGACAAAAGATTCCTGCAATATTGGCAAGAGAAGAAGGCAATTACAATCCAAGAGAAATGACATCGCCAGGGAAGAAACTTTACAGGAAGCTTCACTATTTGGTCTTGTGAGAGCTGAGCTGAAGGGCTTGCACATGGGTAGCCAGGACTATCCAAAATGCTCTGTGATGTCAGAAATAGCCCTGTGAGAATGGGAGGTGGGACACCAGGCTGGAGGAACTGGTACTCACTGCAGCAACAGGAAGAGACATACAAGGCAGATGCACACACTCAGGTCCGTGCATTAAGCCCCCAAATTCACAAGGTAGAGAGGAAAACCTGGACACCACGAAGAAAGAGAAGCATGAACTCTCACCTGGCACTTTGCAGCCCTGTATTCGAGGTAATGCTGCCTGGAAAAGTTTCCTTCCATGGTGAGAGCAATGTAGCTTGTAAAYGACAGTGAGAGTTGTCTGGCATCAAAACTGCCCCTTCTAGAGCTACATTCCTCATGACCAACACACCACCTTCTAATAAAGTACAAATCCATTTGTTAGTAAGAAAGAGACTGAAGTCCATCCAACCATTACTTGACTAATTAAACAGTAAAAATGTTCCATTTGTTAAGGAAATGTTTCAGATTACAGTGGGCCCAAACACAAATGCCATGCATTTATCCAGRCATAATCTTAGCAGGGATCGGAGGTACCCTCAAGCAAAAAGGCYTTCCTGCTGGAGATGAAACAGAGGAGCCAGGAGGAACATTCACAGAGAGACAAGTCTYTGCCCCAACTAAGGTTTAAAAACGCCTCGTGAAACATTGTGCTGTAGAAATTGGATTAGAGAGTTAAAAAAATAGTGTCAGAAAGAATTAGCTGCATTGTAATTACAGATAACAGAATGCCGTTTTAATGGCAACAGGGTTCAACTAAATCTAAGGCTCCCCAACAGTATTTTGCCTTCCTCAAAAGGCATTAATGTATACCTTGGTCTCTCCTTCTACACTGATCATTTAGACTGTGGTAATTAACAGCTTTTAACATGTCTGAAGCTTTTTCTAGAGAAACAGTGTGGAGACAACCTAGGAGCATCTAATGCATCAATCCACAGCTGTTAGCACAGCCTTGGTGCTGGGAGGTGGGTGTAGGGGCAGCAGAAAAACTGTTTTAGTTAAGGCACTTAATATACTAATCCTCTTTGCTCCCACCACAGCTAGGAGTGTACATGCAGCAGAAGCATATAGATCAATGTCTGTTGCCAGGCTATGATTTGTCAGACTTTTGGGACAGATGAAAGGAAATACTGAAAAAACCTGGCAGAGCTTGTCTCATGCCACKTTGTCCACTGTTATTAGGGTTTCCWCACTCATTTGCTCTTGCCTGCTGCTTTTTCACTTGCTGCAGTCAGTAATCACAGCCACCTGGCAGCCGTGCATGACTGATTTCAAGGACAAGACCTTATCCCATCAAYTTCAAATGTGCAGTGAAGACCCAGGACAGCTACCCTGCCTGCAGGGTTTCAGCAGACCACAGGCGAGRCTCTCTTAAAGCAGGTAGAGATTGCTGAGGAGCCCCATCTCTAACCAGACATTTCTATGTGCTGGGTGTAAATCTAGCTGTGCAGCTCCCACCTCTGGCTGCTTAGGCACTGATTTAAGAGTCAAGAAACAGCTAAAAAATTAAGAAACCCTTTTTTTTTGAAACCAAGAGAGCTTTCATACTTGTCTCTGTATATCAGGTATGCTTACCTATCCCACAGTTAGTTTAAAACCTAGAAAGCCTCTTGTAGTCTTACSTAACTCCAGCATCCAGTGATGCACAGTAGATCGAGCCCTTAACCCCCCAGCAGGSATCTCTGAATCAGCCACAAATCTGGCTCACACTTACATTTAATGATCAAACAGCAGCCCCACTACTCACAGAGGAGCTAATTTCATGCTTATGGCTACCACTGCTTGTATGTGTTTGCAACATGAGGCCCAGRAGAGTAGCTGGAAAAGGGGAGAAAAGCTTTCCAAATGTATCAAGAACTTCCAGAGATGAAGGCAACACTCATGCTTGAATTTCAGAGCGCACAGGAACGACACAAAGTAAAACAAAAAAACCCAAATGAACAAAAGCAAAACTGAAAGTAAAAGCRTTTGTCAAAGATAAATTTCAATGCCAAAGCAATGTCTGAAGGTCTGGAGATTTAAAAAAAAAAATTGTTTTGTACTGCCTCCTCCTAGAGCTGCCAGATTTTCAAAAGATTCTCAAACAATTTGCAAAAGAACCCAGGGATGTGGTGTGATGTGGTAGTCTGTGCAGACCTTCAAAAGTTATGTTGTACAACACACACAGTTTGGTAGCCGCAAAAGGTAGTGCAAAGCCCTTACATCAACATTCTATACAGCTGGAGGATTTTATTTTGATTTAGTTTGGTGCCTGATCCAAATATGCATGTGGTTCAAACCTGTTCAAAGGAGCAGTCAGTAGTTTGATCTGCTCTAGAATCACCGTATCATTTAGGTTGGAAAAGACCTCTGAGTCCAACKGTTAACCCAGCACTGCCAAGTCCACCATTAAACCATGTCCCCAAGTGCCACACTTACATGTCTTTTAAAAACCTCCAGGGATGGTGACTGATAGGATGTAAGGTGCAGATCTAGAGCAGAGCTTTCAGTTTCACTTCTTCCAGAAATGACTGAGGTRCTGACTTCAAAATCATGTTACCAGTCTGAACTAAAACACAGAATGTGTTTGTGGCACATTTACAAATTGCCTTCCAATGAAACACCGCCACAGGAACCCAATGCCAGGAGAAAAYTCCAGTGTTAATTTTCATAACTATAAAATTAGAACCAGCCCTACCCTGAAGTGTTGCTCATACCTGCCGTGGCTGGTTAACCTTTGCTCCAGAAGAAAGCAGCAATCGGATGACATCCAGATAGCCTCCTTGTGCCGCCAGGAAAATTGCAGAAGCTCCATCCTACGAACAAACACATTCATCTTACACTGTGAAGTGATGCCATTTTTCCACACAAAAACAAATCAAACTGAATCAAGTTCTCATTCTTTGAGTGATTATGATTTGCAACAGCAGATATGCTTGAGCTTAACATGCTCAAGAAATAACTATCAAAATCCAAAATCTAGTTCATAACAATCTATGGCAACATTTTCATTCAGTGTGCACAAGTACTGGCTCCCATCATATGTCAAACAGAGCATTAAATCCTATGTCTGGAAAACTGAGAGTCTAGTTCATTGAGGCATTGAGCTACMTAACTAGAAATTAGTTCCTGTACAGCAATATAGCTTCATTTAGCTTTTGTATGTTCTGCAGAGGTGTTCTGCCACATGGATACAAGGTGGAAACATATCGAGTACATTGCAAGGYTGCAAACTCCAGCACAGAAATCAGTCCTTGAGGCTAAAGGAGTAAGGCCTGTGCTATACCATTGGGCCACCCCAGAAACCACCTTGCCACTGCTCTGGCACATCTTGTAGAAGAGACTTCRCCTGTAATATAGTAATCTAGAAGTATTTCATAGCCATATCAGAAACCAGAATTTTCCTGCAAAAAGCTTGTGAAAAAATAAATTGTGAACAAATACAGGAGTTTATTTTTCTTTGACATATCTTTCATGTGCAGATGTTCTCTGCAAGAAGAAAAATTCTTCAGAGCAACCTTTTCCACAGGAAAAAAAAAGAGAAGTCATATTTCATTAAGTGTTTTTGATGAGAAGTTTTCAAACAGCATTATAATCCATCTAACCAACTAGAAGAAGAAATCTGTATTGAGGGTGGGACAGGTGTTTACCCACCTTACATCCACAGTACTCAGCACAGGATATGCTAGGACAAGTTTTCCCAGATGAGGATCTTTCCGTTTAAATTGAATTAACCCCTTCACTGCATCTCAGAGGTGTAAGTACATACCTCATGCCAACTCAGGCAGGTACTCATCACAAAATACAGGGCATTTTAGTGAAAGCCTGTTGTTGACCTTGTTGCCACATCACTGTTCTGGGACTGAATGCTATTGTGTGCAGAGAGAGTGCTTAGCTACTCCTCTAACTGAAAAACTCAGCACAGACTTGGTGAAGCATGAGCAGAATATAAGGCCCCAGGGACTGAATTTAGGATGTTTGACATTGATTTCAAGACAAATGTCCTGGTAAACAAAAGAGATGTCTGCTGGAACTATAAATGCCTGCCTCTGGGCCCTCTGATGGGCTGTTTTCTCTGGTTGCTGTGTGAATGCATGAAAAAATTTMATGATTCCAAAGCCTTTGCAGGCTCCCTCCAGAGACAGAGAACACATCAATTTAGAAAGTAAACAAGGTTGTGTAGTATTAAAAAGCTCTTCATTTTAGTATCAATCAAGATGGAGAACCCTGCATTCCCTGATACTTATTTGATTTGAATTGATGCTGTAATGAGAATGCTGTTTTGAGGCTATTATAAAAAGAAGAAACACTATTTAGTTAGGGTATTCTTTTGTCTCCCACTCTCCTGACCCTTCACATGCATCAATTTAAGAWTGAAACATTGATATTGATGGTTTTGGGAAGAGTATCCAAATATATGCTCAAAAACCCTCTCATTTGGCTGCCTGCCAGTGAAACTGCCATCCAGGTACCACTTGACAAATGGAACTTGGCCCACAGAAAGAGCTAGTAAACACTTATTTTCAAGAAAGTGTATTCTTTTTTTGGGTGCACAACTGCTTCTGACTGTCTATGAGCAATAAAAGTATATTTCTAAATCCAATTGCAAATATTGCTCAATTCCAGGAGAGACAAGAAGGAAGTTATTTTACTGCCTTGACCTCTGGGTAAGAGTCTGCAGGTGTGGCAGCACAGCTATTTTTAAACTGAGTGGTAACCCCTGGGATTACCCTGCAGAGGGATGAATCACTGCCCTCAGATCAGAAAGACAATCCCTACTTGCACAGCAGCAAGGGTGGAACAGCCTCCTTTATAAATCAGGGGTGAGGCAGCACTGAGGTGGGGATCCCTCTATGACCACTTCTGCAGTCACCAGCTCTTGGCTCTTGTGCAAGATTGTAGGAACTGAGAGCACAACAGCACACTGCAGATCCAAAACCAATGGAAACAGCTGAAAAAACTCATATATCTCAGGGAAACAACTTCCTCTTTGTCAGTCTTGAGTGCCCTGGGGTAGGAAAGAGCAGTGGGAAGCAGAGGCAAAATCTGCTACTCGTTTCTGTTGAATGCCGAAAAGCCTAACTTATCTGTGTGTCTGCTGGAGTAAATTAAATCCAGAGCTTCAGCAGTTCAATCCAAATTTCTGAAAAGTCAACTGAACAACATCAGTTCAGCCATTTTAACTATATTTTGTCCAAAACACTGGCAAGCTGGAAATTCACAAATACCAAATAACGTAATTTCAACTGTTATTAAAAATATATTTTAATTTTTACTATTCTTTCTGACAGAAAACTAATGTACCTTGGAGGCTCTAGAGCTACTCACTCTTCTGCAAATCGTGGTCAAACATGACATAGTCTTTCATCCAAGGCTAATGGGTAACACAAGCCTGTTCCAGATTTGGTATGTATCCTTCACTCAGATAAAGAACCAAAAGGCAACCAAAAAATCTTTTCTAATTTTGTGCTACTTCTCTCGGCATCATGAAAAGCAGACAGTTAACAAAATTCACATCTTAGAGGAACAGAGTACTATAAAACTGCAGTGTTTGGCAAATGCCTCTCTGTTCTGGAGCCAGGGTGTCTGCTGTTGTCCAAGCAACAGCACATTTGTTCCACCACCACCATTGTCAATATTGTGTGTGTCAAATAACTCACATAGAGYTGATCGTGAATGTTGGCGCCGTGCTTCAGCAGAGTTTCCACTACTTTTGCATGCCCGTACTGACAGGCAGCCAGGAGAGCTGTACCTCCATCCTGTGAAAAAGYAAAGAATGGGCACAGTCAGGTGAGAGGGCAGGTGCTGGACTGAACATCACCATTAAAAAAAAAGAGCCAAACGTTAAGACTTTTCAGAGTTTGGCTCCCAGCGGTTCCGCAATGGGTAGCTACTGAATTTTTCACTACTTTAATGCCAAGCATTGACAYGTAAATCTTTCAACTTGGCTCAGTCACTATATACATTTTTCTCCTGAGTTTTCTTTAGGGAGGGACAAGAACTAAGAAGATTCTGCTTTTTTGTTCCTCATTTTCTGCCTCGCCATTTTAAGATTTGTTCCCTTCACAACTCCAAGCTATTCCATGTCTCTTCCTTTTACACCCAAATTCCTCATGCATGACAAACTCTTCCACCGATGGAAGGACCGCATACCCTTCCACTGCTCCAGAGCCTATTGATCATCTTCTCTTCTTTGGCCAGAACATTGTGCCCTGTTTTCTCCTGCCTCTCATCTGTGAGTTGTTAGCCTGAAGCATTTTAAAGTATGCTAGCTAAGTGAGGAAGTGTCAATCTGACCAAAGGCATGACCATCAGTGAAAGCCCTGTTATTGCTGCTTGAGAAGCGATCCCTGCAGGTAGGATCAATCCCAGGCAGYCAGAGTTGCTGCACATCACCACTAAAGGGAGACCTAGGCACATGCATCAAGCCCTGCCCGTAGAAACACTCCCTTGGGAGCCATCTGGGAAGGGGAACACCTCAGTGTCACTGGCAATTGACTCCAAACCAGCTGAAACAACTGAACCAGCAAACACAGGTCTTGCCATCCTAAGTGTGCTATGCCCCACCCAAAAACTGCCAGTATTTCTGACACAGATATGGAGTGGAAACTCTTATCTTCTGCCTGGGATGGCACCATGCCATAGCGCAAAGATGATGCACACCCCAAAATACCCCCACCACAGGTCTTCTCTCTCCTTCCCTGCCTTGTCCCARTCTCAAGCCTCTCCTCCACAAGATAAGCTATCTAAAGTATTTCAGGTAAATGGTTTCTAGAGCTGTTATTAATGTGGACACAAGACTCTGCTTTCCCCTAGACTTGTTCTCTGAAACAACTCCAAAGTTTGTCTGAAATTTTCCACATAGACAGATATCCACAAAAGAAGTTACAGCTTGAGTGACCAAACAGATCTTTTTTAATGGGAAGTGCCAATCAAATTTATTAATCAGTGGTGCAATTTCAGGGCTATAATAGCCTTGCGAAAACTCAAGCTCTGACATGACTGAGCTAACACACAGGCACTGTTTATAGCTACCCTCAAAACCTCATATTCACCCCTCCTGCCTAAGAAAATGAAAAGAAAAGAAGGTTTGGGTGTCAGCAAAGCCAGAGATGTGAGGCTGTTGTGTGACAGTCTAAGGATTGCCTATTAATTCTGGATTATTTGAGTAAATACAGTGTGTAATCAGGTCAGTGGAGTTAAGTTTCTCTTATGAGAAATTAGACTTTACTGCCAAGTTAGCTACCATAATTTAATGGGAACTGCTGGAACAAAACACAAAAGCAATCACAATTGTGCCTGGAATAAAAAACACTTTATAAACACTTAAAAGACAATGGAAAAGCTAATAGCTTCGTRAAACCTATTTCCTCTTTCCAACCAGCTGAAAGCCACTTTGCTCAAGTGGTGATTTACCAGCTCAAATGGCTACAAACAAAAAAACCCAGAAATTTTTTAAGACTCTTTCTCAGAASGAAGTTGAGAGAAATAGTTAAGTGAATTAAGAAGACAAACTATGCTATCCAGACTGAAGGACCTCTGTGGAGATGCAGGGAAAGAAAAATTTTAGGAAGCTTAAAAATATCAAAATTCCCTGTATGGAGGGTAAATAGACATGCTCAGTGGGAAAAGTTTGTTTATTGCTTTATGGTCTGGCTTTTGTTTCCTAAAATTCTTGTGTTTTCCACAAACTCCTGATATTTTTAGAAGATTGTTCGGTTATTAACATAACTGCAGTAGGGAGCTAGTTGACAGATCTCAAATAAAAGGCAGGCCTGCAAAGCTAATCACAGTTGGCATAGCAGAGCTGAAGCCCAGCACTTGGAATCCAAATGTGTGATCCCACCTTGGGAGATGCAACAGCTTGAGGTTTAAGAAGCGCAACACTCTCCCAAGATATGTCTAAGTGACTCAAAAAGGAGATCCTGACCAAGTGTTTGGTTTAACCCAGTGAACAGTTGTAGATAGATTTTTTTACTTTTTTTTTTTTTTTTTTTTTTTAAGAATAACACAATTCCAAAATACACCATTGAGATCTTTCAGACTTGAGTGACAAAGTTTTCCTTAGATCAGCAGAGGTTAGAAGAAGAGCATTGGATGGTCCCCAATTCCATCTGTCCAATCTGAATCAAATATTTACTGGTCAGAGAGAACTGGGTAACAATCCCTGGGCTCAAAGATCTGGTCCCTGATCAGGAAGACAACTGAACTCTAAGATCTGCTCTGYGGTGTGTCTGATACTTGAAGCTGAATAAATACACTCAACAGAAGGGACTGGGATTCCYCTGCATGCTCTGAGTTTGGGGCACCATTGTGAAAAATCAGATCCTACATCTTTCTGTAAGAAAGGGAAGCTGGATGCAGGAATCTTTTCCACTGACCATAAGACAGCACTTAGCTCAATCTAGGAATTGCCAAACAGTGTGAAGGTCCATTGTTTATTATTAGGAGAAAATTCAGTCCCCCCCCCCCAGCCCTTGCCTCTACTGAGCTTTCATCTGGTTTTCTCTTACACTTTACTCCAGCAAGTTCTAGCTGAAGACCCTAATGTTTTAGAGACCACAGGAAAAGCAGGTAAGTTGTGGGAGGTTAAAAAAAAAGTAGATGACAGAGTTTTTAACATCCCTTTCAGCCACGTGATTACCTCTTTCCTTCTTGGCTTCAGCTGAGATAAGTAAAAAGCTGAAGCAGCATCTTTGGTACTGGCAAGTCTCTTGGAAAATCTGAGCMGGGCAGCAAGTGGGAACTGGACACATGAGCAAGCACTGAGGCACTGCTGAGGCTATCCCCCTTCTGCAGAGCGCAGGAGGCCGCCTGTGCTACCTCTGAGAGAAGACACATTGCCTTGGGTTCACTTCTTGCTCATATCCTGTTTTCCTGACACAATGAAGCTTCTGTTAATCCTGCACTGCAAATGTTTCCAGCTCAGATAGGAGACACTTTTCTCACTTACCTCTGCAATTCTTCCCCTGATACCATTTTTCTGCCTTCCCCAGAGTGTGTCCTTGCTGCCAGCACATAACCGCAGCTGCCAACCTCCCGTGAAAACACTTGGAACAGTAGCACTGGGCAAGACCACGCTAAGTGGTGTAGACTGCCCTATTTACCTGCCCCTTTCCTCTGTCATCATCACCTGAAAGTAGCTTAGAATTCTATGCTGTTTTACCATAACTTGAATATGCTACAGAGGAGRGGAACTGATCTCCTGCAGTCACTACCTGCTGAAAAATAGCCTCTGAACAAACTGTTCAACCTGCAACTGTTCAACTTGGAAAATGTTCCACCATGCAAAACCTTTTAAGAACTCACATGCTTAGAACATGTATCAGAATAAAAGAAAAGAAGTTTCAACCTATATTAAATATTTCTGGGTGTCAGACTGGGACAATGCAGAATAAAATTAATGATTAATATTAAATGCAATAATTATAATTATATAATATTTAACCTTCAACAGTACTACTCATTTCTTTACAACATCATTATTTATTGCTAATTACTTTATTATACTGTTCTAGAACATGTTTACTTTTCCTGCCATAACAAATACAAATTTTAATGATAYAAGGCTTAACAAGAGTTCCCTGCCTGTATTAAGATAGTTCTCCTGAATTTTAGTATACAAGTAAAAAAAGTAATAATCACAAGTAATAATCACACAATTACAGACAAGTGCATGAAGAAGATGCTGGGGTTTGCAGTTCCTTGCTTTAAAGTCTCTGTTTTCTAGGATACATTCAATTTGTGGGCTTATTTCAATCTCATGTCTTAATTTATGATAGAAATATATACATTCTTTACAAATGGATTAATTTTGCACTGCCCTTTAAAAACAGACAGATCAGCCATATATTTTCTAGTGCTGCTCCCAACTGAGTGTCTTAGTGAGAAAATACCTTATCCCTAAACTGAAAAGGAATATTTTATTAACTCTATTGTTTCTGGGACTTGCGAGGGATATAGTCAGTCACCTTGGGCACCTGTTAACAGAACAGTGGAATTACTTCGAGCTATGAAAACCRTATTATTGAATCAGAAGGTGGAACTGATATGAAAGCACACTAACAGACCAGTGGAAAATGCACTACACCTCACTGGTGCCTCCTGCTCAGGCGCACACTGGGTGATGCTACTGGAAAATCATCTCACATGCACATCACACACCAGTTTCCCATGTTACATCCATTGGGAGCTGGTGTTATCTTTCAACCAGCTTGTCTGGAAGTAGTGGAAAACTGTAGAGTGGAGAGGAAGAGCAACCTGAAGCTTAAAAGATACTTGGGACTTGGGCAAGTCAGATCTGGGTTCAGAAGAAGATGCAGAGAGGAAAAGAATGGAAGTTTCCAGGTGAGCAATAGTAGACACCAAACTTGCATATCTCCAAAGATAGAAGCCATTTGGACCAGCTGACTACAGGAATATTCTTTTATAATTTAAATCTTTGCTCTCTTTTATCTGCCCTAGTGTTTCACATTAATTTATTTTGCATGCTTCATAAAAGATGATCTCTTTTAATGAAGGATCAGACAATTTCAAGCCTGCTGTTCACCTTCGGGATCAAATCTTGGCCTCTTCACAAACTCCTAGTTCACAGGCTGTGGAAAGATTCAGTGAAAATGTAACTGTCTCTGTAGACAGAATAAGGTACTGAGTCTCTGACTTCACAGCTGAATGCAAGGGAAGATGACCCCTCTGAACCTGGATAACCCTCATCCATACTCTGAAATAAAAGTCAGAGAAGCAACACTTACTTTAGTGGGCAACCTTACCCAATAAATGTCCCACATGAGGTTATCCAGCAATTTAAGAGCCAGCTGTTGTATTTAACATTGCAACCTCCTGCATTGCCAACATCCACAGCTGCACTCCATGTTGTGTTAAACAGCCACGATTTCATTCATGCTTTTATTACTGATTGCTGCTGTGGTCAGAAAGTTGCTCACCACAAGCACAGATCCCTGGAGTACCAGAATCCTACTGTATGGGCATGTGTGGACTCTGGCCACAAAATCTCAGGATTTTAGCCCCTGGAGCATAAGGAGTTGAGTTTCTGATGTTCCATCAATTCCCTTAGTACTTAGAGCCTGTGTTTCCAGGGACTCCAGAAAGCAGGTATGAATTGAGGGAATCATTCAAAACACAAACTAAAATATCTCAAAAAATYGGTAACTGTGGGGTAAAGAGCTATTCCTTCTTCAAATATCTCACTAGGGATCCCAGAGTAAGTGACTGGCAAGTGTCCTGCTCCCCAGATTATGGGAATGCTTCAAAATGTAGCAAGCATGTCAAGGACATTTAATGAAAATATGTTTCTATTTTCCTGTTTGCTGAAAGCAGAGGTGCTAAYAGTGCCTTGGGCAAAGAAACTGGGTTGATGTTCTGCTGTTAATGATGAACTGCTGATCTTGCTGCTGTTGAGGGGCGAGGAACCCAGGCCCTGCCCCCTGTGCTTCTGGGTATTCTATAAGGATTTTCAAGAGGGACCTGCCTGAACAAATAAATAAAAGCTCTGAGGTGCATTTCACCTTCTTGTCACAGATGGGTAAGTGGGAATTTAGGGAGGACTGAAGCCATACTCTTACATATCCTATGGTGGCAYGCAGAGACATCCCAATGTAGATCAAATATAAGTTCTATGCAACTGAAGTACATAAACAAGTAAACTGGAATCCTACCTAAAAGGTACAAAAAGACCCTTTGATCTTATATTGGAAGATGGCTTATGAGGAAAGACTGGTATCACTATCAAGGGACAGATTCTTGATGAACTTACGCCATTAAGTCTAGGCAGTAAAAGCTAGTCCCAAGTTAATATTTCACAATGTGTTGCATTATTCATATTACACAAAAAAGGTTAATGTAAAGAAATTTCATCATCTTAACACTGCCCTGCCATATTACATGTGAATACAAAAAACTCAGTCTTGACTGTCAGAATGTATCAGCATGCAAAAACGGATCCATCATCTTACTTTATTCTTAAATTCAGTGGAGGCTCCAAATGAAAAGAGATACTTCACTACATCATTGTGGCCTTGCTGTGCAGCAAAGAACAGAGGAGTTGCACCTGACTGTAAAGGAAAAATTGATTAAAAGAGTAACAAACACATAACACACTTGACTGAAGTATAAACATTTCAAATTAAAAAGTATGGAACTCAATCAGTTGCGTATCAGCTGAAAAGACATRATGAATCTGAAGACTCCAGATGTTTTCAGGTGTCTTAACTCAGTCTTCTTCCCATTGCACTGAAAAATCTTCCCAGCATCATACATCTGAGTAAGATCCAAGAACTGAAACCCCGCATTTCAAACAAGTTGTAGAAGATACTGTCATTAACATGAAAGCAAATTGGGCTCCAAAAAATGACCATGTTAGATTTTAATGGCTGGACAGAAGGAYRAAAGAAAGAAAGAAAGGGAAGGAAGGGAAGAAAAGGAAGGAAGGGAGGAAGGGAGGAAGGAAGAAAAGAAATGTAGGCTTTTCTGACTTCGGGCTCTCTCACCCCCTTGCAGAAAATACAGGAAATGGTAGCTACACATTAAATTCATTCCCATACCCAAAGCGTCTACAATAGTACATGGCCCCATTTAGACCCATTTCAGAGCCTCCTGTCTTGGACACATTTATGGAACCCTCACTCCCCCAAGCTTCACAGCAACTTCAGACCACAACGAGTACGGTTAGAGTATGTGCATTTAGTTGCAGAACAGTGCCTCTGGTCTTTAGATCTTAAACTTCATCTGTTTTGATTCCTTTCTGCAACAGAGTGATTTTGGAGGCTTTCAGTGTTTTTCTTTTTGTGGGCTTGTTGAATCAGTACTTCCTGAGTGATAATCAAGAGCAGATCCATAAAACTGTTCTTAACTTTTGTTACTGCTTTCCAAGCAATGTTTACCGAAGGGAAGGGACATATTTAATCACATATTTTGTTAGAACAGGACCCCACTGAAAGACACTGACAATCGTGGTTAGAGCAAGTTTAGGCCAGTAGGTGCAAAGACACCTATATCATCAAACATGGCATTCACTGGCTCAATAACTTGCAGATGTCAGCATGAGATTAATGCTCTGGTTGCAGGTAACCAAGGAAAGTAAGAAACATTGCCTTGTATTGTTGGAGCAATGAGCACGCTGCTGTCCTGTGCTACCACCATCCCATGTAACAGCACCCCATCCTTTAACTGCTCATCTCTCAGGACCAGTGCCTGTCCCAGGGCAATTTTGCTCTTTGCACAGCCAATATGCAGACCAGAGCAACTGCAAGTACTCCTTATCTGTCTGCATGGAGTATGAATGAAAGGAACTTTCCCAAAAAAATCAGTTGCTGATGTCTCTTCCATGCTGATATCATGGTGCAAGACATGCCTTGAATGTCAAACAGAGATGCAGGGTAGGGTACAGGTGATAAAGGTGTGTGACTGTTAGAGATGAGTTGGCTCAGACTAAAAGGCAGAAACTCCAAAACATAGAGAGTAAAAAACAATCCCTGCGCTAGCAACAACATCTACTCCATTTTAATGACCAGGCAGCAAATCAAAAGGTAAAGGTCTCCTCCTTATWATTTATTGCATCCAGGGAGCTGTAAATTATTGTGCCAATGAGTAAAACTGCGAATACATAAATGGCATAACCCTGGGGGGTTACATCCCAGATGTAACTGACCCTCACCAACCAGATGTGCTGAAAATGTTGGATGAGTTGTTATAAATGTACCCCTGGCATCTGATTTTCTATTGTAAACTCCAGATATCTGATTCCCTGTTGTCCTCAGAACAGAGCCTCTTAYACKTGTTATAAACACACTRTRCAGCAGGTGACAAAGAAACAATTGGCAACAAGCAGCAGACAACACTCTTATTATTTGCAATAAACCAACARTCACTTAATCAAGCCCTGTTTGAATCCTACCTCTCTCTGCAGATTGATATCTGCTCCTTGCAACACCAATTCCCGCACACAATCTATGTGGCCATAGTAAGATGCTACCATCAGAGCTGTTGTGCCAAGCTGGGAGTAAGGAAAAACAAGTCAGTACCTTCAACAGACACCTACAGCAATGAATCAGGCTGTCTGGAAGAGACAGCATCTCTGCCAAAAAGCTGGAGGGAGCTTATGATATCTTATTGTCCCAAAATAAGTGCAACAAGTATAAAAAGAATGGGTTTTGTTCCTAAACAGCTTTTTTTCTCTTTTTAGTCAGAGAATCCCAAAGTTCTTTGCATCATTTCCAGAAGAACAACCTCAGACGCAGGAGCTGAGTGACTCAGCTGAGTCACTTAATTCTGAGTCATAGTCAGGAGTAGGGGCTGGGTGATTTGAACAGTAATTCCCTATCCAAATAATGAGAGCACACTCACTCGGTGACTCTTCATATTATAAAAGAGAACTTTCTGTACAGAAATATGTGTTCAGCTCCCCCAGTAYACTATAAGGTCACTTCCAGTGAACGAAGCCGTATTTGTGTGTATGCAGTGTATGGACAATATGCAGAAACCGCATGCATAAGGATGAAACACATCCTTCAAAAGCATTCTTATACAGTAGYTCAATTAAAGAAGGAATGGGTGACWTAAAAAAGAAGCATGAGGTCTTAAATTTTACAAAAATAATTCAGTCTAGAAAATGTGTATGTCTGATATAATTATTAATGCAGTGCAGTGTGAAAGTTCTTATCCAAAGGTAGCCTTCTTAGGAGTAAAAATGAACAGTAGTCACTTTATTTTTACACACTGATCTCTATCCTGTTTATTTCAAGCCTCCACCTGAACATCCTTCCCTCCCTGTCAGAAGGACTGTCATGGCACCACCTCCAGAAGTACTGTAGAACAAATACTTGCCTACAGGGCAAAAACGAAATGAAAATGAAAAGACAGGTTGAAGTCAATGGGCTTAGGAAATGTCTTACACTTCGAAGGTATTTCAAAGTGAAAGAAGCTGTGGCAAGTTCATGTTTCAGGCTGGAAGTGGCACTAATCCTAAACAACACCAGCACAGTTCAGTGTCAGTCAGTCTCAATGCCAAAAAAAGAAACCTGGAACTTCCCAACCTCATTTTTCCCTTGCTCTTTGACACAGCTTAGCACAATCAAGTATCTCATCATGTGTTGTAGGCAAAATCGACATACTCATTATCTATGTTATCAACCCATTTCTAATCTCAAAACTAATTTCAACCCATGTCAATTACAGTAAGGGAATTCCCATGAAATCCATCCTATGTCTGGGCTCCTCTTGCTTGGCAGTCTTGTGCCTTCATGTTGGTGCCCAGTCCAGAGACTGGGCGGAGAAGGAAGAATTTAGGAGGCCAGCAGTTGTAATTATGAGATCTGCTAGCTGATAGAATCATTGCTACCTGGGCTCAATTGAGTCAGCTCTTCACTGTGATCTATTACTGCAGTGACATTTCTTTGCAAAGAGAAGCCCGAGGTGCTAGGATCTGTGTTTTCAACGTCAGCACCACAAATAACTGTGTAAGACACATTCTTGAGTGCTGGCAAATTCTTAACCCCTTGCCACTGATGTAAATCATCACACATTTTATCTTACATTTCAAGCTTGATTACTGACAAGAGAAGGTTTTAAATCATTCTGAAGTGCCATAACATTTTCATATGTTYCATGTTAGATCACTACTACACCCTCTGCATGGTGGGCTATGGAAGGTGATGCAAAATGAGTGCTGTGGCTATAGGTGCATTGTGTGCATACGCTGTCTTTGCAGTCCACATCGACTCGCCCACTGTTCAGCAGCAGCTGGAGGAGAGCCAGGTTTCCTTTTCTTGCAGCCCAAAACGCAGCATTGGCAAGTGGTGTTTCTTTCTGGTGGAAAAAAGARAAATAAGAAAAAAAGAAAAGAAGCTGAAATAAATCACTTCAGAAAACATATTGGACAAGCGCACACATTGCATACATTTTGCATTCAAACCAGGCAAGTTTCAGCTTAGTGTGTTGTACTTTTAAAAGCAGAACATGGAAAGGAAGCTAATTTCATTTCTTTGTGCAAYTAAAGAGGTCAATCTTCCTGTGCTACCTCATGTTATTTCAAGTCTTCCCTGTGTCCATGGCAGCCTATGTCTCCTAGATTATTCTGTAATGAGAGATGATGCTAAGCCAGATCCACAGGGAAACATCATAAAAAACAACTTACTCAGGGATACCTGTAGTGTCTGGTTTGTGGTGGGGCTGCCCACAGTTAGGCTGAAGCATCCTGCTGATACGTCCTGCTGCAGGACTTCCTCTTGGGTTCCAGATTAGCTCTCTGTTGTCTCCTTCTCTGCACATGAAGTTCCAATACGGAAACAKATTGCTCATCCATTTCCCAGACTGCTTGCTCTACCTCCTGCCTGGAATTAACACCCTGTGACTGTGGGCCTGTGCAATATCTSCTGGGTAAGAGTGAATGATGACTGCTCCAGCATAGGAAAAGGACAGAAAAAAAAAAGACATGGACTTTGCTCCTGAACTCTCAATCTAATCGATGCAGAGAGCTGCCAGTATGCTGCCTCGACAGGTAAGCAGTGTCATGGGTGAAGTGTTGGGGGGAAACACCGTGATGACAATGATACCTATCCTAGAGCAGGCTCATGCTGCTGATTTTTTAATAAGGCCCCAAACCACCAACAGGTCAGTAAGGCATCACTTCACTGATAGTYACTTATACCAAAACAGAGCCAAAAAGACCCAGGTGCCTTGCTTTCCAGTGATACTGAATAACCCAAAGAGGATGCAGAGTGGATATAAAAGTCAATCATTCAGCTTTAGAAATGAAATAGGCACTTCTCCTTGTCTAAATGCCAATGCGGACATGTAATGCGGTAGGGAATCAGGATTCAATGGTTTTATGGTTTGTAATTAAAATGCACATATACAGCACAGTTTAAATACCTTCCTTCACTGACATGAAGACAATAAACTTTGCAGAAACCCGCAGACACAAGAATCATAGATCTGAACCTATCTCAAGTCTGTAACACCGAGCACTTTCCATGGGTTGCATTTTTAATATTAATAGGTTGGAAAATTGGCAGCTGTTCGAGACAAGAGAAGTTCCAACCATTCAATAAATTATAAGTCACTTCCTATAAATTGATAGTGATATTTCTTGTACCAGAACACACAGGGGCAGGAGTCTGAAAATTTCAGCAACTGCAATAAGCTAAATTCTGGTCTTCTTTTCACAGCTAATGCATTTCTCCGGAGAATCTGTAGATAATGTTGACTGAAGTAGAGACAGCAATTTATCCCCTCCTTGCTGGCAACACTGTAGTGTCTTCCTATCTTTACCCTTAGAACCACTAAAATTTTATGTAAAAGCAAACAATTGACCTAAACACACAGAGGCTCATGTTGCTCTTTCTGCTCTTTAGACAGATATTTATTTATAGAGCTGACAGTTAGGAATATTGTCTTATTAGCTTTGTTATTATGATATTCACCAGAARACCATTGCTAAAGAATTATATTTAGACCTTATAGAATGGAAAATCAAATTCCTGACCTTTTACTGTCCCAATCTATCCCTTAAAGCTTTAGTAAGTTTAGAAGTATATCCATAAAGGGAAAGATTTATTTAACCCCAGTTTTCACTACAAGGGTACAGTAGCAGACGGTATTTTATTATGCACACCATGCACCACCACCTTCATTGGTCAGGTGGGCAGGAGCTGAAATCAGTATTCAGGAACTCCTTACCTGATTTCACCAGTTCACATGAGAAGAGAAAAGAACTAAATGTCCAGTGTCACCCTGGACTGGAAGCAGAAGTTCAAAGTATTTTGCCTTATGAGTCATAAATATCTACCTTTTTTTTCTCCCTTCTAAGTCCTACAGTAGCTCTCCAGCAAAGTTRTCCTCATACTTTGGATCAGACCCAAAGAATGGAAGAATTCTTCAGTGCATCAAGGACACAAAACTAAATTTTTCGCAGTGGTGCTTTTGACCCCATTTGCACTGACTGCTACCAGCACTTGTACTTCCCCTTGTGCCCTCGCGTTACTTGGGATTCCTTGTATGGGAGTATACAGCACATTCACACCATCAGCCATCCAGTGATTACATTAAAAAATCAGATGCAAAGCTGAGCTATTTTACCTGTTGAGGTGAATGAAAGTGCAATCATTCAGATTGATTTGAGCATTTTACAAGAACAGTCTCATTGTATACCATGTGGCAGTTTGTATCTCTGGATCTCTATCTATCTCTGTGTTCTTCATTTTCTTCAGCAATACTGACACAGTGGTAGGCAAAATGTAAGACACCACTTTGGGGATAATAATCCAATTAATTGAATTCTTTTTTTTGGCAATAAATGGGTTTTAAACTGCAGGATGTGACTGCTGCTGTTTGGTTATGAATTCCGTCTTGTCTCATCACATACTTTGTAAGGAGAGATAATGCTGAATTTCAAGAGATTAATTGGACAAAATTTTCATGTAATTCTCATCATAAAGCTAGTCTGCTCCCAAAGTATTCTCAAAGTAAACAACTGATCCTCAGCACTGACAGTCTGGGAGCAGGATGTAACAAACATTTGAAAATGATTARCTAATAGCTTTGGTGAAAATTGCTTATTTCATTATGTCATTTGCTCCAGCATCAGCAACTTTMAGGATAAAATTGCCTTCACTTCATCAAGTTCTCTAAAGTTTTATTTTAAAATCTGGCTCTGCTATTAATTTTGATTGTTTGTATGTTTTATGASAGCCCAAAGATGAAATGCTGGCATTGTATCCATGCTGAACTGACATTAGAAAAAACAGTTAATCAAAAATGGCCTAGAGAAAAACACGTATTATAAATCTGACAAGACCATTTCTATGCAGGGATACAGAAAAAATGGATTGTCCTAATGTTTCTATGTCATTTTAGATCTATTGAGAGGGAAAGTACAATTTAAATACAGTGACTATGAACTCCCGCTCCCTGCCCTTCCTTTGACTTGCTGTTTGCAGAGAAAGGGCAGGTGGCAGTGAGGAGACCCCTGAGGAAGAAGAGAGCTGTTCTTAAACAGGGGTCTTGTAGATGGAAGAAAAGAAGCAATAGACAAAGAGAAAGMAAAGAGAAGAAAGAGAACACTAGCACACTAGCTTGTTCCTTGTGCTGTCAAAATACAAGAAAATTCCCTTTTCTTTCTTAGTTTCCAAACCAGTCCTAATGGAAAGGAGGAACTCAGTAAAAAGTTTTAAGAAGAAAAACTGGAAATCAGGATCAAGCATGACAGAAAAGGCTAGTGCAATTTAGGAGCAAAGAGCTCTTTATTAGCTAGCAATACATCCTACATGAAAGATCCTGATCAAAAAAAAAACAAACCAAGGTTATTCAATATATAAATGTTGTTTAGTCAGGCTAAATGTCAGAAGAGAGGATGTTTGTGTGAGAAAGAAAAATAAATGCTATTCCATGGGTAAGTAGGATAATAAGATGGAAAACAGGAACAGCCAGTGGCAAATACAGATAGTAACGATCCAAGTTAAGTTTGTGATCTTCTGAGAGAAAGAAAAAATGTCAAACAAAAAGTCACAGAAAAGGAAGAGAAAACAGAGAGAGAGAGAGAGGGAGGTATGGACTACAATTTCTCAGAGGGAGGGAAAGCAGTGAGCTACTTGGAGCAGGAATACTTGAGAATGTGAGAAATAGGGCACAGAAAAGAAGTTGGTAGGGACAGAACAGAAAGTTTTATCTGAAGTATAAGTTAAATAAACAAGGAGGMAAAATAGGATAAAAAAGCAAGAAGAGGCTGGCATCACCAGGGACATGGGGATGTTAGGGTGGATGCTTGTGAGTAATGAAGGCAGGAAAAAACTCACACAGAATGGAGGGACAGGAAGATTAAGGAAAGAAAGAAGGTGTGAGACCAATGCAGGACCAAAAAGGGAATGACCACAGAGACTGCAGTCCAGAAAGCCAAGTGTATCCTGAGCTACATCAAAAGAATCATGACCAGCAGGTTGAGGAAAGAGATCATCTTCCTCAATTCTGCTCTGGTAAGACCACACCTGGAGTACTATGCTCAGCCCCAATATAAGGATGTGGACGGGCTGGGGGAAATCCAGAAGAGGGCCATGAAGATGGTCAGAGGGCAAGAGCACTTCTCCTATGAAGACAGGCTGAGAGAGTTGGGGTTGTTCAGCCTGGAGAAGAGAAGCATCCAAGGAGACYCTACAGCAGCCTTACAGTGCCTAAAGGGGACCCTCAAGAGAGATGGAGAGGGACTTTTTACAAGGACATGTAGTGATGGGACAMGGACAAATGGCTTTAAACTGAAAGGGGGTTGGTTTGAGTGGGTATTAGGAAGATACTCTTTATTGTGAGGGTGGTGAGGTACCGGAACAGTTGCCCAGAGGAATTGTGGGTACCTCATCCATAGAAGTGTCCACAGCCAGGTCGGGTGGAGCTTTGAGCAACCTGGTCTAATGGCAGGGGCTGGAATGAGATGACCTTTATGGTGCCTTCCAATCCAAGGCATTCTATGATTTCACCACCAAGCACAAGGCTGAGCTGCAGTTTGAACAAAGGTTCTCTRCTGAGTGCCACAGGAGGAAACCACCTGCTGCACCACCATAGAACTGACAGGGTACCACCAAAGCACCAGCATTCCAGGGAAGAGATACACTGACAGGAGTGAGACAAGTACAGGGAATAATCCATCAAATAAAGTAGTGCAACACAAGCAATATGGCAAAGRACTGGCATTGAGCTGCTGATCAATAAGAGAAGGGCAAGCACAGCTTCCAGAAAGTGCATAACAGAGAAGATGTACATCCATCACAAATATTATCTGTTAACATCATTAGTAAATTGCTGCTTGCTTCCCTCTTTGCCAAATAATCTTATTAATCCTATCCCTAAATTAAAAAACTTACTTCAGGCAATCTTTTGAAATGACTGCTCTTGGACGGGTTTGCATGGAAGAAGTACAAAAAGTGATAGGAATGACAGCTGGCAAAGGGAACGAACCAGTCTGGCTTCAGTGGCCACCACAGCCTGAAAGGAAGAGCACGGATAAAAGCTGCCTCCTAACTATTACACAACCAGCACCAGCAGAGACGGTCGGAAAAGTGAGGAGGAGGCTCCTGACTGCACCAAAACCCACAGCCCGGAGCCCGGCCACGCTAGAGCCAGCGTAAAGCTCCACGGAGGCTCGCAGTTTATGTAACACAAGCCACGCACCCTTTTGGGGCTGTCAGCGGGGAAAAGCGCCGGCTCTATCAGCTGCCAYCGCAGCACTCCCGGGGCGCCCCAAAGCTCGGGAAGGACGCTGCTGTTTTCTTTCCTTCCGCCCTACACCATCCTCGTTTTTTCAAAAAAAAAAAGAAAAAAAAATTAAATCAATCCCCARATCTACCGGATACGACAGAGCACTGCACGGGCTGCCGGCATGACAAGCGCAAAGCGGGAACCCAAACGCGCATCCCCCCGCCCCGCTGCCCGGCTCACCTTGAACGACATCCTGCACATCGCCGCGCTCCGCCTCCGCTCCGCACCCTCCCGCGCCGCTCGGTCCGCACCGCTCCGCGCCCGGGGCTGCGCGGGGCCGGGGCGGGGCGCGGCGGGGYCGGCGCCTCCCTCCCGCATCACTTTGTGCTCATGGGCTTCTGGCTACTATTCTTCTTTAAAGGTTCTTTTKGGGGTGGAAAGGGAGTATTTGGTATTATTATTGTTATTAGTATTAATAATAATAATAATAGTAGAATATAATTAATTCTATTCGAACATACATTACTTAAATTAGCCCACTAGTGAATATAATTACAGAAAACGGTATTTCATGGTTATTGTTGCTGCTTATAATTATTATTGTTATTTCTATTGTTGTTAGCAGTAGTACTGGTATTATGAGCAGTATTATTTAAAATGGGCCCCTGCTSCAGCAGCATCCTGAGAAGCCAGCCCCCACAGTGGGGATCCCACACTACTTAGCGTCGGGGTCAGACCTAGAGATCAGGCCTCTGCAGCCCAGAAATAGCACTGAAATGGTCCAAAGCAAAACCTCCTCACCCCAACCCCAGTCTCACTCTGGTGTTAAGCCCACATGCATGGCACCTCTTTTCTATTTTACAGCCTGTTCCCTTCATATCTAGAAAAAACACAAACTGTTAAGAGCTACTGCTGTGAGTAAACCCATGGTGTTGCCACACAAACTTGTGGTGGGGGTGAGCATTCCTTCACCTTGCATGCATCCAGCTATCACCAACAGCATCTTCCACGGGTGATATGTTCTCATTAGGAAGCCAGTAAGTTCTTAAGGGCTTAATTTTAAGCCTTTAGAAATGAACAGCCATAAAGCCAATTCATGTCCTGTTTTGCCTGGCTGCCACAGATTTCATTCAAAGTCTGCGTGATATAATGTAGGCAAAGCTAGGCATGCTCTGGTGAAAGATTTCTGAATTTCTTTGCTATTGTTGGTTTAAACTGAGCCCTTAGGGATTTTCTTCTTTTGATGTGCACACATAAATCCCATTCACGAGAAAATTATGCGCGTGCATTGAGAGAAAATACTTGTGCTGAGATCCAAACAGCTTATTCTACAAATCTGCAAGTGAAGGGGTTTCTGCAGATCTTTCTCCCGAGGCAATGTTCATCTGTGCATCTGTGCACACAGTAAAACAAACAGTAGACAAGCAGATGAAAGGTGCTAATAGCACCAGCTCATCTCAGAATGCATGGCCTGGTGTGAACCTTAATTACTGAGATCATACAAACCTGGATGATCATTCTGACTTTTTCTTAAAACTTAAAATTATTGAATAAGCTCAGTACATTGCATAGTTGAGAGTCATCCTTGCTCTAATCCAGTTACACAGTAATGATTGTCCACTGAAAGAGGCAAATATTACTGAKCTGTACACATTCCCTATCTCATCCTTGGAAAATCCCTATATTTATTCAATCTATTGTGAATAACATGCCAAACTTTTCACATTCATCAGCCAAAATGTCAAATYTTATGATGAAGAAAAACCAAAGAATTCTCTGGATGAACAACGAAAAAGGAGACTAAAGCAGTACAGTTTTTTGGGGGTCTGTATTTATCTTGAGTGTCAGGAGAAAAATTTTAAAGTGCTTTTTTAAATATCCCCACAAAATCTGAAATTGCACCTATTTTTAGTTGCACATGGTCTCCCGTGACTTTTCTTTTTCATATTTAAGTRCAATAATTTGTCAGAACAGTTGAATACAGAATTACATATATAAGGTGTGTTCTTTTTTTGGTGATCCTTTTAAAGTTTATCCCAAAAAGCATTTCGAAACCATTTTTTTTTTTTTTATGTAGATCTCTGTCTGTTGTAACAGTCAAATCTTGTTTAGGGGGAAAAGAGGAAACACACCTCATATATCTAAAACTAAGAATTTACAATTAGTATAACTGAACCTTAACAGTCTAACATAAGAATCATTACTAGAGCAGATGTAATTATTGCAGAAAAAGAAAGAATTTATACAAAGAAAAAATCAGTATTAACAACATTTAAAACGAACAGTTAAAACTTACATACAGTTCCTGGTTTTCACTCCTCTTCTGGATATTATCCTCACCTTTCCCCTGCTCTGCTATGTCCCAGAGTTGGTGGTTTCATTCTGTTGGTGGTGGTTTGGGATGTTATGGTGAGCTGTCAGCATCTGGAATTGGTTGTTGCAGTGAATATGATGTTCATGTTAATGGCTTCTCCTCCTAGTCTGTATCCAAAGTCCTTCTGGCTCTAGGATCCGCATAATTCCGTTTCATATACTTGATGAAGTGCTTGTACCTCTGACATTTTTTTTCACTGGTCTGCAGCTCCATCTTTCAGAAAACTAGTTCCAATTTCAATTAGAAAAGCTGCTGTTAGTGATGAGCCACATGAAATAAAATTGAGGGAGGTCAAGAACAGACTAAAGAGAGCAAACCTGAAACGTCTCAGTCCCAAGGCCCTGCTAACTCAATGCCTGTTACTATMGTGGGAACACTGTATTTTAGGGCTACTTGGTGATGAAACCCACATCGCCCTTACTTTTGATTCTTGGCAGAATATTTAAGATTGCAAGATACTTGTACTGGTTGGGATTTGTTAGCTGTTTGGCAGAATTCATCTGTGGSGCAGCAGGCTGCATTCCTCTCACCYAGTATTTCATCACAGTGATTATTTCAAATATCTTGAGTCATGTTGTTTTGTGCAAATCTGAAGGCTACCTAAGAACAATTGCAGGAACAAATTAAATTATTGCCTTTAAAAGCTGATCCAACCTTACACTTCTGTGTAAGTCACAAATAAATCACCTGAGCCAGAATGGTTCAGGCACATCTATATATTGATGATTAAGAGAAGTAGCCCAAATTTGGGGTTAGACAAAACATTCATTTGGAGATCTTGATCTATACATCTACAAGTTTTTATGCGAGGATGACATTAATTTCTATTTGCTTTAAAAACAGCAATCAGCAAACACTCATTTAGAAATGAGTGAAAAGCAATGTAAGTTTACTTGCTGTGTATGGAAATGGATAAATACATTTCAGTAGATGAGGTGATCAGTGTGTGTTTTGTAACTTTGGTGAACTCTGACATGGGAGTCTGCCYTCATCTCAAGAAGCTGTTGTTAAATTTGACTGGCATCTTCCAGACTCCAGAGCTCTTTATTGCAGGGTGTGTCACACAACTGCATGTGTGTAACTCAGRAGATATCATTGACAAATACATTTCTGCAATAGCTTTTGTCATTTCCCATATGGCTGTATGTCAATAATGTCAATGTTTTTGCTKTCAATATCACCTGTATAAAGATCATTGGTGAAAGCCCATGATATTTATTCTCTTATTGTAACTTACTTCATTTTTTCTGAAGCTTTAAAAATTGGGAAGATCTTAGTATAATGTTATTGATTTCAGCTGTATCTGAATTGTCTTCTTTCCTTGGACATTTGCTTCCATTAACATTTAGTTATTGAAATAGTTTTTCAAATGTAAATAGGTTTCTATGTTTGTTTTTTTTCTAGAAAAAAATTATCCAAAGTATAAAGAGTACAGGCAATTTAAAATAAAAAATGGAGTAATCTTCAGCAGTTTCAGTGACAAATTTTGAAGCCTGGATTTTACCCAGACAACAACAGTAATAAGCCTGGCTACCATAAACAGCAAATTCTATTTCTATTTTACTGAAGGTATAAATCCTATTTACAACTCTAGTTCCCTCTGCATGATTTCAAAATCCTGGATCACTGCCTCTTAGAGGACTGGTGTATGCTTCTGTCTATGACCTCCCGTGTGGGCTTGGGCAAGCCTTTTTTGTGCCAAAATCTTTCAAAATAACTTCTCACTTTGGCATCCTTACATTCTTTTTCATTGTAACTCAAAATGCTGACACCAGGACATAAACTAATTYTGAAGCCATCAGCCTAAGGTTTTTSTACATCRGTTTTTRTCAGCAAYATTCAATACCAGCACWCAGTAARAGAGCAGGTCTCTTTTTCTCTTACCCAATCCTTGGACTCTTTATGTTGCTGAAATCACTCTTGATGTTGGCTAAATCCTGCACAGTGCTTTGGAGTGAACTGARCTGGCAAGCTCAGACACCACCAGCAGTTCTGCTGTGCCAGCATGGGCATCTGCACAGACCAGCAAATCCAACAGCTTGGCTGGCTAAATCAGCTCATGCTGACCTCTCGGGGACATCTGCTTCAGTGCTCTTGTCTGGATGAGGAGTACACAGCTGAAGTSAATGTCTCAGTTGTCTCCCTTTACTGTGCTGTTTTCTTATTGTGGAGGGATCTTGTACTCTACAAACCGGATCCATTTTGGACTAACCTCACAGAACTTCTCCTGCAGCAGACTCAGTGCACTGCAGCTGCAAACTGGGACTGAAAGAGAGCTGATCTGAATCAAAACAAACACAAAACCCCCAACTTGAAATGGGTACAAATGTAGACTTCAGGTCCTTAGCACCAACTGTATGCTCTACAGATCCACTCSTGTTAGGCTGCACTACTTGCAAATGTAGACTGGTAGGGTAGTGCTACTACCACCACAGCTAGATTAGGTATTGCTACATTGCAATGCAGCCTTTGATGTAGGAAAAAACCCTCTTAAAATAAGATGCCTGGTGCAGTCATGTTGGCCTCCCACCCCTGCCTGAAAAGTAGCCAAAGCCTTGTGCCATGGCTTCTTCCCTTTGTGTGTTCTCTCATCCARTGAGAATCTGGGAAGTCTCACTATTTGCCCAGGACTTACTGATGTTCTGCAGCACCTACCAATGGTCCACAAACCATCTGGAAATCCTAGGCTTGTCTTCTGCAGTTTACTGTARGTCTCATGTATGTGCTTCATCAAACCCCTTCAAGGACATGGTGAACCTGACCTTTTTCAGGGTGCACAATGCAAATTCATGGYACATAACATACACAATAAATGTGATACTTTCTAGGCATGCTGTATCCACCGACAACAGTTTGTGTCATCAGCTTGTACCTGTTCMACAACAGTGATACACCCTGGAGTGCCTGGACTTGCCCATCCCCTGCCTGGAAGTATT